GCTTGAGACTTCCTCGCAATTTACTCAGGCGCCGCGCTCTTGCCATTCAGGAATCGCGCGTTCGCTGGGAACTTTTTCAAATTTACTTTGGAATCGCCTTCTGGCTGGAACCTTCCTGGCTAATCACGCAAAACTCACGAAGAAATATACATATATATATATATATATATACATATACACCCACCAAAGGTGGTATGATCGAAGACGAAGAGGGGTGGTATCGAGGGGTCGGGAGATGCACGCTGAATGGCACTCGAGCAGATAAGAGCGAACAATCTAAAAATGTTTCTTGTTGTTGCTGTTGTTGTTGATGTTGTTTGTTTATTTGTTTGTTGTTTGACATCGTCCCCCCGCGACCTGGCCCGTGAGCCGACCGCGACCCACCTCGCGACCCGCCCCGCGACCCGCCCGCGACCCACCCGCGACCCACCCGCGACCCACCCCGCGATCCCACCCGCGACCCACCCGCGACCCACCCGCGACCCCACCCGCGACCCGGCCCGCGACCCGGCCCGCGACCCGGCCCGCGACCCACCCGCGACCCACCTGCGCCCCACCCCGCGTCCCACCCACACTGCTTTAACGAAAAATCGGCGCCTGCGGCGGGCTCGTTGTACGACTTGTGAAAATTAGGCTCCTGCGGCGAGCTTATTCAGAGCCTCGCAGGCTGCCAACGTCCCCGCCGCCCCCTCACTCTCATCTGCGACTGCGCCGGATCTCGGGGTGGAGGTGGGGGATTTGGGTTCCATCTGTGGCGTCTTCAATGTTTCCCGACGCTCCCCCTCACCAGGAATGGAGGGCAAACTAGGGCCTTCGGGTAGGGTTGGGATGGTTTGGTGGGTCGTGGGTTGGCATGGTGGAGAGAAAACTGTGCACGCCCTCCGTCTCAGTTGTTTCGAGCCGCCGATGACCGGGGACGGAGGCGGCAGCGAGGGCCTGAGACCCCGCAGCTCGTCGCGCAGGCCCCCCACCGCCTCCTGCGAGGCCGCGCTCGCCTCCGCGCAGGAGCGCAGCTCCTGCAGCGCCAGCCTGCGGGGGGGAGGGGCCCACGCTGAGCATCGTTGAGCCGACCCCTATGCCCCTGGGCATGGCCTGGGCCCCACTCGCCCATGTACTCGCACAGATAGGGGATAGCGTCTTGTGTGCGAGAGAGGCCGAAACAATCCGTACGTCCGATACTCGGCGTGGCGGTTGCCTGGCACGCCTCCGCCTTACAACTGGCTCAGCTGCACGGGGTTCGAACTACAACGGCAGCGATCGCCGCAGCAACAGCGATCCGCCTGGATGGGGATACGGGCCCTTCCTTTCGGGTTTCCGCGGGCTTAGTGGGCCCGGGAAACGACAGGGCAATTTTTTTACCGGTTCCGTTTTGCCGTTTTTTTGTCGGTTCCGACGCCGTTTTTTACCGGTTCCGTCGCCGTTTTTTGACGGGTTCCGGTTCCCGTTTCAATCCTGGAGCCGTTTTTTGACCGTTTCCGGTTGCCGTTTTTTGGCCCTTTCCATTTTCAAGGGGCATTTTTTTGGAAACGGTGAAAAAACGGCCCTGCCGTTTCCGTGGCCCACAAAGTCCGCGGGTATACTGGGGTGCTGAGATGGCAAGGGTCTGGATCAAGATGGGGATGGGGATACAGCCGGTTCAACGATACTGCGGAGGGGCCCTCACTCCAGGGCCCCTCCCCTTAGCGGGCCCACCCAGCATCGAATCGGTAAATCGGATCTGACCGGAAAATCACAATCGAAGCCTCCTCCTCCTCCTCATCCTCATCCCCCTCCTCCTCCTCCTCCTCCTCCTCCTCCGATGCTGCTTAGCCGCCCAAGCCCCACCCGTCGCTCCAGGCGAACAGGGCGGCTTCACTCCGGCTCTGCACTGTCCTCGCTTGTCGGGTTGCTGCGTGTGCGTATGTGTATGTGTGCTGCCAGTGCAGCGGAGGCCAGTCCACAAGAGGCCTCCCACAAGAAACCCAACCCTGAGACCCCAGAACGTCCATTGAGTTTTGGCGTGGGAGCGCCGCGCTTTCCACAGCAGGGCTACCGGAACCCAAGCAACCAAGGGCATCCTGGAGGCAAGCCGGGTGCTTCTCGGCATGGGCCTCCGCTCTGGCTGCAAGACCCCGAGTGGTCTCCGAGGGCGCGGGCGGGCCCAGACGCTCGCGCGCTTCGCTGCAACTCCCAAGCTTCTGCGCCCTGTCGCCGCGCGCAGGGCCGCGACGCCAAGACATGTGTGCACGTGTGCGTGCGTGCCACAGATCGGAACGGTGGGAACGGGCCGCATCGGCACGACGTCAACATCGAATCGGATCGGCTGCGCCAAGATCCCGCCCATGCACGCCCTGGGGCCGCATCACGTCGCCTTGGGACCGAGTCGAATCGGACAGGCTGGAGCGGATGCCGAATCCAATCTATATATACATATATATATATATATGTAAACATATATATATATATATATGTATATATATATATGTATATATGTGTATATATATATATATATATATATATATATATATATCGGAATGGACCCGGCTCCGGCACCGTTTCTGTTCTCCCGGTTCCGTCGCTGCTGTTGTTATGGGTTCCGGTTCCCGCTCCAACCCCCGAGCTTCATTCGCTTCATTCGGTGGCAACTCATGAGAGCCTCCAATACCATCTTGTCGGCTCTTGCGAATCGACGCTGGTCGACGCCAAATCGACGCTAATCGACGCGACATCGACGCTACATCGGCGGTATCTCATCGACTCCCAGACGTTAATGGACGCTAGCCGACGCTACAGACAGGAATACGAGACGATGGTAATTACACGAAGCTCCCATCATTTGCTACCGAATTCTCCATGTTCCAGAGACAATGGAAAAAGCGGCAACGAGGGAAAAACGCGGCCCCGGCATGTGTCCGCGCTGGCCAACTGAGGCGCCTCCTGGACTCAGGGGCGCGCAAACATAGACTCTGGCGACTATGGCGATACATGGCTTTGGCGCGCGGTCGTAAGATCCATGGATCGGGGGAGGTGCCCTCCCCAGAATGCAGCCGGTGCCGCCGCGCTCGGCGGCAAGAATCCGCGACATTTCCAATGGAAACGGGGCCCGTCGCCAATCCGCGCCCCCTTGATCCACGTTTGCGATCGCCTGATGAACCCTCTCCTCCCCGTTTTCCGGCCCTGCAAGCGAAGAGCATGACCCCGGGGAGGAGTGACCTCTCTGGTGCACGGCGTGCTGGGGCAGCGTGGAGGCGCAAAATCTAAGCCGAGGCCCTCCCGGCCCTCGAGTTCCCAAAGTTCCGAGACGCCTTCGTTGAAGGGGCCCAGGGACACACGAATAAGTAGACACAGATCCCAGGATTCTCCATAAATTCTCATATTTGTCTGGGTTTTCGCCTTCCCCCCACTTCCCATATTCTCCCATATCTTCCTTGGAGTCGACGATGGATTGTGTCCGTGTGCTAATAATTACCCCTCCTGACTCGTAAGCTCCAGGGGATGTTCCGGCCTCGGGATGCTCTCCAGCCGCCGCGTCCCGCCGACAGGCGTCGGGGGGTGCCCGGATCGTCCCGAACGACCGCCCGAGACCTGTTTTCTGACTAGAGAACCCAAAAGAAATCAGGCCTCCCCTCCCGCCCTCCCTCTGGGTCCTCGAGGGAAAGGCCGCTTTACGTTCTGTGGCGCTGATGGCAATTGAGCCATTGCTCGTCCCACGCGTTGGCAGGAGTCGCGCTCGCTTGCCACACTCGGGGAACAGGCCATCTCGATCGAAATCTCGACTGGACGTTCTGCAGTGTCTTCGCAAAGGCTTACGCCGACGAAGACCTTCACTTCTTCATGGTATTCTTGAAGGTCGGGAACTCGTGCTTATGGGGGATCTTCTGATCCGGGTCCATCCAGACCCGGGTCAGCAGGAAACCAACAAAAACCTGCAGCGCAGGACAAACAACAACTGCAGCGCAGGCCCTCGCAAACCCGGGACGGCCAACAGGCGCGGCCGCGCCGCGGCCACGAGCGGCTCGCCGACCCCGGCCCGCCAGAAATGGGGGCCTTCGCAGGATCCCGCAGGATCGAGGCGCCCTGGCCGACCCCCACCTGCATGGGCCCCCGCCTCGAGGCTCCCGACCTGCTTCGGCACTCCTGACACCCGGGGGCTCCCCAGGGGAAGGGAAGGCAGCCCGTGCGAGCGGCGTGCCCCGGGCCGGCCAGCGGACGCCGGGCCCCGAGGCCCCGGGGTCCGGGCGCCCGAGGCCCTGACCCCCGCTTGCACTGACCCGCGCCTCGAGGCTCCCGAGATGAGCGTGTCGCGGCGGCGGCCCCGCGCGACACGCGCGGATGGCATGCCGCTCCGCTCCGCGGAGCGGTGGGCCGGGAGAGGCCCGGGGCGCTGACGCCTGGGGACTACTGGCACTGCGCCTACCAGCGTTACTCAAGCCGCGGCACGTGGACGCATGCGATGTCTACAGGGCAGTTTGTAATGCATAGGAGCTTTAGAAACAGAGGATTTTAATACATGACTGATGTGTGGAAAAATTATGCATGAACTCACCGTTGTTTTTAATACTAAATCCCTGCATGCTTAATACATGATCGGCACGCGGAGCATGTATTGAAAACGGCACTGTACCCTTAGGAAGTACCCATTCAGCTTTGCGGCCAATCTGGGCGGCCTCTTTCTGCAGCGTCGCCGTCCATTCGTTCGGGGGTCAATGGAGTGTGTCGAAAAGGGGTGCCAGGCCGTCAAGGGTTGGTGCATCACAGCCCGAGCCACGCGGGGATGTGTATAGCGCGCCAAGCGTTCCCGTGGGAGCAAGGTCCTCCTCCCCGCTTTCCGCTGCCGTCGTCCTGGATCAGGTCTGATGTTTTCTCCTGTGATGCCGCCATGGCGACGCTGCTTCCTGCACTCGGCATCACTGACTACCAGACCACCCCAACCCAACCCGAAGACTCGAATTTCGGGTTGGGGGGGGTATGGGTTCCATACGTGTTTTTTCGATGTTCCCCGACCCCCCCACACTGGAAATGGAGGGCGAATTGAGGCCTTCGGGTTGGGTTGGGGTGGTTTGGTAGGTGGTGAATCACTGGCTGGTCTTGGAATCTGCTGCACCTGACAGCGCTGGCCGCGCGGCTATCCGCAGTCGGCTACAGCAGCAAGTCTGCACAGTCGACGGCTGCTACAGTGGTCGTGCCGCACTGGACAGCTTGCGGCTCACAAGAGAACGGTCGTGGCCGTGCGGCTCTCTGCACTCGGCAGCACTGGCCATCGCGACCAACTCCAACTCCGCGCATGACTAGCTCGTGCAATCTTGGCGATGGCCTCGTGCCTGCTTGATATCACCAGCCCTTTCCGCATCCTCATCCACCCCATGCTCAGCCCCCGCCCCCTCCTCCTCCTCCTCCTCCTCCTCCTCCTCCTCCTCCTCCTCCTCCTCCTCCTCCTCCTCCTCCTGCAACTCGGCACAACCGTCGATCAAGCTAAACTACACCTTCCTCACGTCCAACTGTATTCCAGGTGAGGAGGACGCGGACGAGGAGGCAAGTGAGGAGGACGTGGAGGCAGGTGAGGAGGACGCGGACGAGGAGAAGGACGCGGAGGAGTAAGAGCAGGGGCAACAAACGTTTCGAGAAATGGAAATCACCACCGATACGAATAGTTTGAAGATGAGATCGCCGACGGATTCGATCAGGAACAAAATATGGCGCTCATCCTCTGTAAAACAAGGTCGGCGATCTCGTCATTGTCTTCCGCCTCGGTGTCGGGGTGTAGACCTGACGACGTGCCATTCACCTCGATGATGAACTCCTTATAATGAAAATCTAGGTCGTTCTCGATGGTGCTAGAAGCAGCTAGCTGAGCGTTCAAAGAGGAAGGAGGGGCTGAACTGCTGTCAGGCCGTTCGCGACTTTCCCGGCGCACCAACACGCCGATTGCATCCACGGTCAGGATGTCCAAGCCGCCAAACATCTCTGAGGCAACCTCGGCCCATAAACGGTATCGCTCGGGGATCTCTTCATCGGGAATCGGCTTTATCAAACAAGTTCCTACATTGGACTTCCAATTCCCCGAGACGTTGTATTTCTTGTAAGCCCGGATGCGCTTGCCAACCTTTTGAATACGCAGGTCATACACTGGTGGAGAGGGGATTTGAGGCCCGTCAATGCCAACAACGCCTGGCAATGAAATCATTTCCACATTGCTGCCAGGCTTGTTACGCTCTCTCTCGATCCACTCCTCGGCGCCCTTGTCGTTTTCAATCATCGGCTCCGCCGTACAATAAGCTCTGTTGCACATCTTCAGCACGCTCCGGAAATCCTCAAACGCATGGTGGTTGTCGATTTTCATCTTGCCGTCGCCCGCGTGGGCGGAACCGACTTTAACAATGCACGGAAACTTATTACCATACATCATGCTGCGGAAACCGCTGAAATAGCTCTGCTCAACGAGCGGAAATTGGCCGTCGCCGTACTTTCGATTCAATTTCACCAGCTCGCCATGGACAATTGGACGCTCGGTGAACCTAAAGATCGAATCCAGCGAGTTGACCGACTGAATATTGCCATCGTGGATGAATCCGAACAGCTCGTTGCGGAAATCCTGGGTGGATGTGTAACATTCGTTCCGTACCAAAATGAAGTCTGGGGCGATGGTTTTTGTAGCACCTGCGTTTGGACTGTTGCCACGAACATGCACTCTCAGAGTAGATTGCTTTTCTCGTTTTCTGGAATACGCTAAGGAAGCAACCCTGCCGTTGCCACCTTGATATGCCGTGTACGGCTCGCTAGTAACCATGATATCGTCCCAGCCATGCTGCTCCACGACGACTCGCGTGATGCCATCGCTCAGGAAACTTGCACGTCGGTCGCCCCTTGCGAAGACCTTCGCCCAATCAGTCGGTGACACGGCCTTGAAAGAATCGATTACGAGAAGCGTTCTGCTCGTGTCTGGTGGCTCGGGGGAAGCTTTGACTGCGGAATCCGGCTTGTTGCCGAACATTGCGCCGAACATGATAGGCACTGCGTCAAATATGAATACTGGCTTCTAAGTCGTGGGCAGTGCGGCCTGATCTGAGTTGGCAGGGTCCTCAAAATTGCTCACAGGACGCAGCTGCTGAAAACGGCTACTGAGGGTGATGAGGACCGACTGCAACAATTAAATAGCACGCGGATCCAACGGGTCAACTCACCGGCACTTCACTTAGGAGGCTCTGAACTAGGCCTTCTATACCTGGATCTGTTGGTCACCTTTGCAATCCACGGGCAAGGGGAGGAGCAGCAGTAGCAGCAACTGGAAGAGGAGGAGCAGGGGGCCAAAAGGCGATGACAATCTTAGGGATTCGCCCTCAAAACAGAAGGGAATCCCTAAGATCGGCATCGTGATGAGGAGGTGCCCGGCATAGGGATAGGGATATGGGTCCCAGGCTGGTAACGCGTGCCAAGAAGGGCGCAGCGAGGGCCCCAACCCCCAAAGGCCACCGATACTGCCGAGGGGGGCCCGTCTGGCCCGGTGCACCCAAGACAGGCAACGAGAGCCTCAGGTCGGGCACGTCCCCCTGCAGGCGGGCTCTGGGGGAAGAACCAATAGGAGTCCAACAGCAATGCCAGAACGTAGCAGAGACAATCGTTTCCGGACGATTCGTTATGACTATCTTTGAATGTTCCTCCTGTAGAGGGGCGTGCGTCGGGCGTGGACCTAAGGCACCCTAAATTCAGGAACGAGGCCCCCTTTCTCCAGAAGCCAGGCTTCGCCTTCCCATCGAGAATCCAAGGAAAACCCGAGGCAAGATGTGAAGTAATAAAGGAACACGGAGCCCCTCCCCAACCAAAAGGGTTCCCTACAGGGCAGGTTTTCCTACATGGGATTGTTAAATATCTAGGATGTTTTAATGCATGGTCAATGTATGAGTACATTTGTGCATGAGCCCATCGTATGGCCATCGCTCGGACGTCCATTCCCTGTGTTGTGTTCGGTTTCGTGCTCGCATTGGCGATGCACCGCCGGTGGCTCGGAGATGGGCCGTCGACGGCGCGGAACCGCACGCACCTGGACGGGGGCGCCCCCCCGAGTCCAATTACCCCTCCATTTCGGGACGGGAGGAGGAGGAAGAGGAGGAGGAGGAGGAGGAGGAGGAGGAGGAGGAGGAGCAGGTCGCAGCGTGGCCTATGCTCGTCGAGCTGCTTCTGGTGCTCGATCACCTTGGGCGCCACCCCGCGCAGCTTCTCCAGCAGCTCGCCCACGCCGCCCGTGGGCCTCGGACGTGCTGGCACGGCCCACCCAGCAGCTCCCACCCCGCTTATGCAGAGCTTCCCCTCCTCCTCCACCGGGGGGATACAAGGCAATTTTTAATGAATCGGATTTGTTTTAAACGATGGGATTTTTAATACATGATTGATTTATGAATCAACTTATGTATGAAGTCATCGTTGCTTTTAATACTAAGTCCCTGCATTGTTAAAACATGATCCGCACGTGGAGCATGTATTAAAAACGGCACTTTAAGGAGGAGGAGGAGGAGGAGGAGGAGGAGAAAGAGGAGGAGGAGGAGGAGGAGGAGGAGGAGAAGAAGGAGGAGGAGCAGGAAGAGGAGAGATATCGAAAGCGTGAACGAGGATGAGAGGGATGATGAGGGGGATGCTTTGTCCTCAATGTGTGGCGCCTCCCGCGGTGGCCCACCACCTCGCCCTCCATCGCAGGGCCAAAGTCCTTCCGAGGTGGTCTCAGGACGATTCGGGCCACCCACTCCGAAGATCTCACGAGGAAGACAAGGAGGAGAGACGGAGCACAGAGAGGAGAAGAAAGATGAGGATATATCAAAACGGGACAGTGGGATGAAAAGAGAAAGGGGGAGGAGGAGGTGCAGGAGGAGGGAGCCCCCATCCCCCACCCCCACTCAAGGGCCCCGTGGGCGAGCCCCCGCGGAGGGTTCCCAAAGGTTACTGGAGGTCCCCTTGGGTTTGGTGGCCTCGGAACACAAATCACTGGAACACGAGAACGGTACAGGACAACTGATCCCGCAAACGAGAAAACACGAACCTGGGATAAGAGCGGGACCCAAAACCATGAAATTATAACGACGGAAAACGACGGCGCTGGAACCAGCAAAAGAGCGGCAAAACGGAACCAGCAAAACAACTGCGCCCGACGCTGAACAAAAAAAACAGCGCCCCCGAGACAAGAACAAAAACCGTAATCATAAAAACATCGCCGACGGAACCGGGAAAAGTCGGCTTGGACGCCCGAATTATCCGTGATAGCTGCGGTCGGGGGTAACTCCGGGTTGGGCCCCCGAGGCGCGAATCTGTTGTTACCCCTGACCGCCCCCAGCCCTGCTGATTCGGGAAGGTTGGACGCCCGAGTTCTCCGGGAGAAGTGCGGTCCGGGGTAACTCCGATCTGGGCCCCCGAGGCGCGAATCTGTAGCTGTCCCTGACCGCACCCAGCCCTGATGATCCGGGGGTCTGATCCTTAGCGGGCCCTGGAAACGACAAGGCCGTTTTTCTACCGGTTCCGTTAGGCCGTTTTTTTGCCGGTTCCGACACCGTTTTTTTAGCGGTTCCGTCGCCGTTGTTTGACCGGTTCCCGCTCCGGTTCCAATCCTGCAGCCGTTGTTTTGCCGTTTCCGGTCGCCGTTTTTTTGCCGTTTCCATTTTCAAGGAACAGTTTTTTGGAAACGGTGAAAAAACGGCCCTGCCGTTTCCGGGGCCCACGAAATCCGGGGGTCTGATCTATGGGAACCAAAAATGGCATACATAAACTGAAAAGACCCGGAGGTCCGCGCGGATGTCTCGCAGCGGCGCTGGACCCCCCCTCCCTGGCGCGCGGGAGCGCGCCAGCGGCGGCGCACCAGGCGCCGCTGGAGGGGGGGCCCCAGCGCCGATCCGAGGGATCCGCGCGGACCTCCCAGCTAGTATGTTCATGCCACTGTTTGTTCCCCTCTGATTTGGACGCCCGAAATGGGTACGGAAAGAATGGGTACGATGCCCACCAACGAATGTTGTCCCAAGCCAGCAGCGCGACCGCTGTTGGGCAGGCGGCCTCCTGTCTCGAATCGACACAGGCCGCGGCGGCGTGGACAGCGAGTCCTGTTCAGAATGAACAGGAACTGCTGTTGGGCATTGTACCCATTCTTTCAGTACCCATTTCGCGCGTGCAGATCTGAACGGCGCTCACTCACTCACTCGTGCCATACGCCAGAGCGCGTGGGCGAAAGGAGACAGTGCCAGCCAGCTATCGCCGCTTGGCGGGAGTGGCGGCGCGTCGGCGGTCGCATACTTTACAGCGTGCCCGGCGGCGGGGATGGGGAGGGGGAAGAAGTGGAGGGGAAGGGGGCGCGGGGAACGAAGCAACAAGTCACAGATGCCCGTCTGGCTCGACGCACTTAAAGGGGCCCCAGGACACACAAATAGATACACACACATAACAGGATCCCCCATATGTTTCGATATTTTTTGGATTCTCGTCCTCCCCCCCACTTCCACATTTTCCCATATTTTCCTGGGGAGTCGACGATTCATTGTGCCTGTGCGTTTTGGTCCCCTCCTGCGCACTGTTGGGTGTGGCGCTTCACCACACAAGAACGGCAACGGCGCCTGCACTGGCAAGAGAACGGCAGAGCGGGACCCGCAGGGGCACTGCCCGGCCCTCGCCGGGCCCAGCGCGCAGCCCTGCCTCCTCCGGCCCCCATGGAGCCCGCAGGCCGCGCGGGCGAGGGCCCCTCTCGGGAGGCCCCCGAAGGCCACCCCGAGGCCTGCGCGACCCCCGCCGACGTGGAGGATCGACAGCACCCGCTTGCACGGGTGGTGTGTCGACCCCTACCTCGCCATCGCTCGGACGCCCATTCCCTGTGCTTTTTTCGGTTTCATGCATGGTGTTTTCGCCAGATGATCAAGGATGCTCCTCGATGGTCCTCACCGAGGGAAAAATGCACACGTCCGAGCGATGCCAAGCTACAGTGGGGGCGCGGCCGCAAGAAACCCCCGCAGGAAACCCCACCCTGAGACCCCGTGCGCGAGGTACATCCGAGGGGGGAAACCCAGAGCACCCCGAACGCAGCAGCTCCTTCAACGGCTGGCGGGGAGTCCCCGCGCGGCGCGAGGAGCGAAGAGACCCGGGATGCCCTGACGAAAAGCATATGGTTTCTTGATGCGCGCCCCCACTGTACAGCGCGGGCGCACCTCGCTTGCCCCTTCTTCCCCCTCTCCATCTCCTCTTCATCCGCCCTCCCCCCCTGCTCCTCCTCCTCCTCCTTCTCCTCCACCTCCTCCTCCTCCTCCTCCTCCTCCTCCTCCGCCTCCTCCTCCTCCTCCTCGTCCTCCTCCCTCCTCCTCCTCCTCTCCTCCTCCTCCCCGTCCTCCTCCTCCGCCTCCTCCTCCCTCCTCCTCCCTCCTCCTCCCTCCTCCTCCTCCTGCTCCTGCTCCTCCTCCTCCTCCTCCTCCTCCTCCTCCTCCTCCTCCCCCTCTTCCCAGGCTTCGTTGGGGTCTTCGAGTGGACCAGGAAAACTGACGACCGACCCAGAAGCGCGGGTCCTCGGGAGGCCCCCGGAGGCCCCCTGGAGGCCCGCACGCCGTCCCCTGAGCGGCGGCCTGACGAACAACCCCTGTGGCGGCGCGCACAGGGGGGTCGGGGGCTGACATGACGAACCAACAACACACACCCATACCCATAGGGGGGTCGGAGAGGGCTATGGGTGCGTGTTGTCGGATGGGAGTCCCCGCTCGAACGGGAGCGTTCCCCAGGGTCCGACAGCCCGCACCCATACCCGTAGCCAGTCCCCTCTCAACGACCCCCCCATGGGTATGGGTGTGTGTGTTGCTCGTTCGTCATGACAGGAGACTCCAGAATCAAATCGACGCCGAGTCGGGAGAAGTCGAATCGGCGGAAAGTGCCCCCCGAGTGGACGATTGACAGAACCCACTTTCTCGCCATCGCTCGGACGCTCATTCCCCGTGCATCTTTAGACTTCGCGCACGTATGTGTTCGCAAGATGGCCCAATATGATCCGCACAGGCCCTCGACTAGAAACAATGACGTGCGAGCGGTGCTTTTGGCGGCGTCAGAGGGAGGTATGGGGCTGGGGAAGGCTTCTTGGGAGGCTGCTTCTTAGAAAGCGCTGGCCCTGAACCTACA